GCATTTCTTCGGTTTGTGTTGCCTTTATTTTCTCTAGTTCCATTTTCAAGTCCTGAACCATTTCCTTCACCTGCTTAACTGTTTTTTTTTTTTCTTGGCTTTCTGTACTTTCTTTACTTTCCTTAAGAAATTTGTTCATTTCCTCCACTTTTTTGTTTTTTTCTTCCATTTCTTTAAGGGATTTTCTCACATCTTCTTTGAGGGCCTCTATCATTTTTAAGTCGTTCCCTTCTGCTTCATCTGCTTTGTTGTTGTGTTCTGGTCTAGTTGGTGTCAATTCCCTAGATTTTGGTGATGTCATGGTTGTCTTTCTGTTGTTAGGTGTTTTCTTGTATTGCCATCTTCCCGTAGCTTCTTTCAGTAGGTGTTGGTGGGGTCTCTCCCTCTCTCTATTTAACTTCCTCAGTGGGCTTATGTGGGTCAGAGTTTTGATCTGTAGCTCTTTGTGGTCCAAGCTCTCTAGGGGTTCTTTCCACAGCAGGGGTCCGGCAATAGGCCTCAGCATTCAGGCTCCAGTAGAAGACTGGAGATGGGGGTCAAAGATCCAGAAGGCAGGGACTCTGGATATTCCTTGTGCCTATAGGCAGATCTAGACTGAGCCTGGTACTCTCCAGCTAAGGCTTCTTTAGCAGAGGCCCTACTCATTATCCCCAAGGTCATGCTCAGCTGGTTTTCTCTGCAGCATAGCATTGCCTACCTAGGGATAGACCACTCACAGTGGGATGTGCCTTATTATATCAATTAGCAGTCAATATACATGCCCACAGAGCATTCTGTTCTAAGAATTTTCTCAATTGAAACTTTCCTCTCAGATAACTCATGTCTCAAGTTGAGAACACATGCCATACACAAACAAAATACTTAATTGTATATTAATATTAAAACCCAGCGACAGATGCTGGGTTTTGAGCTTAAGATGAGAAGTGTTAGCAGCCAAGCCACTGGGGAGTCACGGATCTTCTCCTAAGATTACATCAAGACTCCTCTCTCTTACCTCTTATAGAATCATCCTTGTCTTCTAGTCCCACCTATCTTGCTTCCCTATTGGCCAACAGTGTTTTATTTATCAACCAATAAGAGAAACATATGTTCAGAAGACTTCCCCCATCATCTCCTCTTTCCTGTCTAAATAAAAAGTTTTAACTTTAACATAGTACAACTATATATAATAAAACAGTTGCTAATCAGGAAGTATAATTACAATATTTAGGCCAATTATATTTGACAAGATTTAAAGAAAATATTTTATCTACCTATTTTTGTGAGTCTAAAATTTTATATATAACTTATCTTTAACATAACTAAAAATTATAACTATGCATTTATGTCTCACTGTCAAGAAAACCCTTAAAACATTTTAAATGCCATATTCTGTAGATATTTGTAAGGTTTGAAGAATGCCTATCCATTTGAAATATATCTTTATTCATCTAGAAAAGCTAACTATAAGTTCTGACTATTATAGATAACTATCTGTAATTTGTACCCAATTATACATTACATTTTTAAATGAGCTATACAAACACAATACCTAAACAAGAGGAGAAATATTCATATCACAAAATTGATCTTAAATTTGTATCAATAAAGGGAAATCCATACCAATGCAAAATATTCATTCCTATATCATCTCTCCCTTTTTTCTTTAGAAGGAGATTGATTGTAACCATTGACTTTTTATAACCAAACCCATTTAAGTGAAAACAAGCATCAACAATATTTGGGAATTTGGGTGTCTTTCTCTCCAAACTGCTTCCTGCTTGTTGGCAGCACTGTGAATCATGAGGAAACAGAGCATGGCCAAATCTTGGTTCTAGTAATCTGAAGCTCCATTGTCCCAGGTGTTTTCAATGTTGGATCACCTGGCCATTGCTTCAACAGTCTTGTTTCATCAAACCATTTTAATCTGGAAGGAATCCACAGCTTTCCTTTTTCTGTGGAAACACAAATAAAATTTCTTTTTCAAATAACATATCCTTAGATTTAAATTTTGATGTCCAAGGATTTTCAAAATATATGTTGGATTAATTCAGCAGCTTTGATAATCAAATGTTCTCTTACACTACTTTAATGATAATATGCATCTCTCTTTAGTTTAGTCCTTATGGTGACCACTGTGAATCTCTCACTTTCTGCCTTAGACATAATTAAAAGTGGATATTACATGCTACTTTCTGTCCAGTTTTCTTAGAATAATATAAAAATGTCCTCACCCCTCTTGTAGCCACTCAACTTTTTGTTTTATTTATCTACACTTTCTATTTTTCTTTTCTATATCAAGACACATTACAGACCGATACATGGAAGTGATCCATATATCTTTAGGAAATACATGCTCGTCCCAGATCATTCTTGGTCACATTTGTAGTTCACTTCCTAGTCACCCTGCCAGCTGTCCAAGCCTCCCACAGTCTAGGCTTCTTAGAACAGTACTTCCAAAAAGTGCAACATTGTCACAATGCCTATAAGCCTCCCATTTGCCATTTGTCTATTGCTTAAAGATGCCGACTCCCATCCACTGTTCCAGTACTAGTTTGCAGGAGGGTAAATTACCCTTATTTTATATCTGCTGGACTGAGACTATGCATTGCCTTATCCTCCTTGTATCCTCATACATATTGTATATTAATTGACTCATAGAACATTCAACTTAATGCAAACAGTGTCACTTAAAGCTAAGATGTGAGAGCAAGGCAGAAACTGACCTGTTTAGTAAGTAGGTTCAATGTCCACCATCCAAGGTACTAACTGAGTATGAGGAAGATTTGGTTTTCAGTCAAGTCATTAAGTACATTTAAGGATGTACAGTAGAAGAAGGAGTTATTTGTAAAGGATGTAGATAACTGGATCCCAAGATTGGAGATGGAGGATCAATGAGCTGCAGTTGTAACTCCATTAATGAACACTGGGTTTAGATTACTAAGGCCTATGATTTGTTCCTCTGACATGAGAAATAAAATGCAAAATAACAACAAAACCAAAAGCAGGATGAAGGAATAGCATGGGAAGAAGATGAAGTAAAGAATTATCATAGTAAAACCACATTTACTACTTTGTTGTCAATCACACGGATTAGGACCTTTACCCTTTTTTGTATGATTACCTTCTTTTATAACAATGTATTAATCACAAGAATTCATCATTCAGTTTGTTAATGTAAATTATTCCACAACTTTTGCTTTAATTGTTAGAAAAAATGAATTCTAGCTAAGCAAAATGATGAACTGCTAAAATCTCAACACTTAGATGCAAAGGTAGTTAGATTTGTAGTTCTAGACCAGCCTGAGCTACATAGTAAAGAAAAACTGAGAATAGCAAGGTTGCCACATCTAGTACAGGACATGGTATTTGCTTAGCATGTATCAGGCCCTCATATCAATCTCAAGGGGAAAAGCAAAACAAAAACCGAATTAAAATTCATGGTGTCCTATTCTTTGTATTATTCAATCCTTCACTGTATTTATTGATATACAAGATTCCTGGAACTTTTTAAAGGCAATCTACTTGTGTGAAGTAAAAATAAGAGGACAGAAGGAGGAAAAAGAAAACTGTTCTACAGATTGACTGGTTTAGGTTCAGATGAGCCAAATCATGTGTTTAGTATGGCCATCAAACCACCTTTTATATAACAACTGTTGCTATCATAAGAGTTTGTTTCTCTAAATTTTGGTGAAATATAACATATTTTATGCACTAATCTGTTAGATCCTGTCTTTGCAAAATGTTATTCATTGAACATTTGGAATATTTATTTCCTATTCATTTTAGTAATGCTTTATTTATATCACACATGATACATATCATATGCTACTGTAGAATATTTGGGACTAATTGGATGGCTGCATTTCTAACTTTTTTTCTGTACTATCATTTTGAGGAACCCAAAGGGTTAAAATTATTTTTTTTAACCTTCACAAATAAGTTTATGGTGAGACCATAAACTCTGGAATAAGAAATCTGCATTCTTTTACTGCTTACTAATATGGCATATTGTTTCTTTACCTATTGAAAATAATAAAACCAATCCTGCTTTCAAGTGATAAAACTTATATTCTAGGTGAATTAAATTTAGAAACATGAATAATAATTTATATAAATGTCTAAATTTCTGATGCAAACCCATTATGAAGTATCTTTCATAAGATTGCCCGATTGAGAACAAAAGTTTCATTAATAATTCAGCAATTAAATTGGGTACTTAGAAGACATATTTTGAAACCATGCAGCATTTTATAAGCATGGATTGCAGAAAAATCAGAAATACAAGGAAGAAGTGAGATTCTTCTGATACCTATTTAGTTCTTTGGTTTTCTTTCAAGGAAACTATTCTGACCACATATAATTGCTCACAGGGATAAATCACAATTACTCGTCAATTCTAAGCAGTTCTGTGGCTTAAGAGAATGTTGGTTTTCTACAGCATGGGTATTTTCATCTCTTAGGAAATCTGTATCCTTAAGACTTGCTTCCACTGTCTTCACATAACACTTCCTACCTTAATAACTTTGATAAATATTTAAGAGATATTTTACCTTTAATCAATCATATAAACGTTAAAATGGAAACCACATTCTACTCTTTCATTATGCCACATACTTTCCTTTACTATGATTGCATTTTATTATTGAAAATGCCAGACAATAATTGAGCATTTGGGAGTTGTCAAGGTACAAAGGCATGTATATTAAAATTGTGCTTCAATAAAGTATTTGTGCATTATAAGCCACCATTTTACTTTCAGAAAACACATTTAATCTTTACATATTAAGGAAATAAGACACAGCATGTGATATTTTAATTACAAAACACTAAAGTCCTAATAGAAGATTAGTGTTTGCAACCCTATCACTGTGTTAAAAAATTAATATTGCAAAGTAAAACACGGAAAATTACATTTGCTGAAGAAGGGCCGTTAACTAACCTTATGTTAGTTAGTTATGTTGAGGACTCATGATTTTAAAGTGATGTAGAGTTTGTTTTGTTTTGTTTTTCTCTAAAAGGTTTTCTACTCTCCGTTGGCCCTCTTCATACCACCTTCAGTGTTTGCTGTTCATATTCAATTCAATCTCCTGTACCAATTTTGGATCCACACAGAGGTAAGGGTGAGTGAATGTTTGAGGGTATGCTAAAAAATATTATACTAAAGCAGCCTCAAGCAATGTCCTAGAAATGGACCAGCAGCTGATTTATTGTGTTAGAAAACTCTTAAGTCTGCCTTCTTTAAAGAGAAACATCTGTTCATTTTTATTCCTTTTATTCTGAATATATTGCAAAGTTTATAAGACGCAATGAACCCAGTTGGTCCCAATTAAATAAAATAATTTTTGAACTATTAAGTACCAAAACATTTTAATACTATTTGCTACAATATCTCACTGTATTACAGTTCATTAAACATTACCAAACAAGAGATGTTGAAATCCATTTCAATTTAGAGATAAAAGTGTGTGTGTGTATATGAAGATCACTTGGAAAATGTTTAGCATTTACAGAAATTAAGAAAATATTATTATTCATCTTACTTTTATTAGAGACTTTGTGCTTTGTTTAAACTTGCTCAAAACATTGTTAGATTTCATTTTATTTTCTCTAGAAAACAATGTAAAATTTAATTCTAGAGACTTTCAGATCTTTAATCTTGAATGGTTGCAGATACATTATTAAGCAACAATCTAGATTATGAACTATTTGCCTTAATTTTGCTGTTAAATATAGAAATATAGTAGACCCAGAAAAATGTTTTATGCACAGGGGAATTCTTTAAAACATTTGCATTTACTGCCAGCCTTTTGAAGTTCTAACAGTGAACATGATGATAGGTAGTGAAGTGTGGTGTACCAACCATAACAGCAGTCACAGCTGTACCAGATAACAAATCTTGCTGTGGAGCAGCATCTTCTCATTGTCTGCAGTATTTCACACATCTGACAGCCTTCAGATAGAGTCACCTTTACTCTGACTTTGGACATATGTGTATTATTTGAAAATCTGTCCTGAAATACTACTCATTTTATGATAGTTGACATTCATCAAACAAGCTCATACTACAGCCATCTGAAAGAGTTGTTGAGGCCAGTTCTGACTCCAGAGGTCAAAGACCAAATTTATTCTAATCAGTAAAGGGAAGCATCTTTCTGATTTACTTGGAGGGGTTAAAGGAGAGAACCATTTTTACAGTGGTTCTGCCAGAGGTCATGCCTTGTGTCAGGCCCAATATTAGTTAGGATATAGAAAGATGATGCCTAAGGAACCAATGCCTTTCCTGTTTCTCTCCAAGAGATCCTTGAGCCAAGGTTCATGTGCCTTTTCAGAAAAAAAAGTGTGCAGACCAAAAGCCAGTGGGAAATTATTTAAAGATCTAATTTAATAGTAGTATGTTAGAGTCCATCACATATGCGGCATGTCATTTCTATGTAGGAACTTAAGCAAGCAGGGTTGTCTTAGGTGAATTGCATGAGATCAAAGCACCCATTTAATAAACTTATTGAGTTGTGTTAAAAGCTGTGAATTCATTCCTGAAAATTTCCATAGCCTGGAAATTTAGACAACATATTTTCATTTGTTTACAAGTAAGAGAATGATTCAGGATGAAACTCAAAAAGCTAATGGCAGTGGTGGCTTCTAGAAAAAGACAAATTGAATAGAAATCAGGTGGGGGAATTTTAATTTTATTTTTAGTATTTAAATATTTATGTATTTAATTGTGTCTGTATGTTTGTGTCCGTGTGTCCATGTGTCTGTGTGTGTGTGTGTGTGTTTGTGTGAGTGTGAGTGTGGTTATATATGTACACCATACATGAAGTGTCTGTAGAGGTTAAAATTGTTCAGGGAATTACAGACATCTGTTTGCCATCATTTGGGTGCTGGGAACTGAATCTCAGTCCTTTGCAAGAGTAATAAGAACTCATAATCTTTCAGACATCTATCCAGCCTCTGTGGAGATTTAATATAAAAGAATATATTTTCAACATGTGATCATTCTAATTTGTCAATTAAAAGTTAAGGTAGTCTGAATCCCCAAGCACGATAATTTGGGGTTGCTCGCCAACAATTATATTGTAGAAGAATAGAACCTATTCAAGCAAGTTGTTCTCAGACTTCCACATGACACAAGGGCAATACATAGAGCACACACACACACACACACACACACACACACACACACACACACACACACACCTCATTAAATGTTTTTAAATGTTACCACACATATTAAAGGTAAAAGCTAAAATTATTGGTTTCTGTCTAGCAAACTGTGCATATTAAGGCTGAAAAACTGTTCGTTTCTTGCTAAATGCCTCCAAGGTCTTGCATACCCTTATATCTAGCATCATAAGAGTGACTCTATTCAAAAAAGAACCTTGTGAGAGCTGCAGAAATTGCAGTGTTGGCCAAGTAGCTTGGTCCATTCACAAACATAAGTTTTCTTCTCTATCTTCCTTGAAGTTTGATTCTTACAAAAGGGAAAGCTGGTTAAGGAGACACTGATTTTTCTGAAAGGGAAAAAGTCACTTCCTTTAAATCAATACCTCCAAGGATGTGAGGAAAGAGAAAAAGAGCCCAGAACATTTGATAAAACATATATAAGACCAGAGTCTAGCTTGATATTTTTGCTATTGCTTAACTGAGGATTCTGTTAGCCAAGAAACAGGAGTTATCTTAGTCCTTTCTGAAAGTTACAAAAATCTTCTGCTTGCTTTGGCAGTCTGTTCTGTTGCTATTTATTTATTTATTTAGAGCAGAGAATACAAGGTTTTACTTTATATAGCTTTCAATGTCCTGTAACTCGCTGTGTAAACCAGACTGGGCTGAAACTCACAGAAATCCACTGGCCTCTGCCTCCAGAGTGCTGGGTTAGAGGAGAGTATACCATTCCCAGCTTTTGCTGAGTTTATATTGTGTAAATATTTGTTAAATTCATGGACCTAGGGTGTTGGTGTCACAACTGTGGTTTGTTCTTTTTCTGTAAATGCATGAATACACCACAAGAAGTTTTTAAATACAAGTTCTAAACACTTCATAGCTATACATGTCCATTTCTTAGGTATTAAGTATTACTGGGGTTTAGTTGCACCATCACAGCACAGTGGTAATAACCTGAACTAATCTAGATAATTATAATCTGTTATCATGCTTGAGAAGAGGAATGATTATTTTAATGCTGTGATATTAAAGATTGTTGTCATGATTTGATGAGTTTTGTAATGTTAAACTGAAACTTCTGAAGAAAGTTAATTCTACTTGGTTTCTTGGTTTAGGTGTCCTGTATTATTTTGTTAATTTGTTTCCTTTAGTATCTTTTATTATCACAACCCATGAAACATGTTCTGCTCAGATTTCCTTTGAAACTTTTAGAGTTTTAACTTTTATCTTTAGGTCTATATTATGATTAAATGTTTGTCACATAGGCATATGTCACATGGTTTAGATCAAGACCCACTATGGGTCCACAGCAGTAGATCAGTGCTCTATGCACATGTATGTTCATGCCAACAGTTTTATATATTGGGTGGTCTTATTACCTATCCTAAAAAGAAATTGACTGTCTATGTTAATGATAAGTATTGGATCCCTGGGTTTGGGTATCCCCCACTGATGCAACAACCCAAACCAAATTAATAAATTCAGATTTAATAAACAGAGCAAAGCAACTCCTGGGTGACACTCAGGAAGGCAGGAAAGACATCACATGGCAGGTCCAGAGACCAGCTCTTTAATGCCCTGTAGGCATGGTCTTGAGCAGCTCTGGGGGGAGGGTCTGGCCTTTGCCTAGCTTTCTGAGGGGTGGAGTCAGGAATGGGAGGAGTGGGACCAGAGCAGAGATTAGCAACAGTTAGTTCTGTTGTTTCCACCTCTTTCTTTGTTTATTTATATTCCTTTATACAAATCTCCCACTTTTTTGATTACTATAATTTGTCAAAAGAGTTATTGTGTAGTTTGTGAAATTTGTTTAAAATTATCTATTAGCTCTTTCAAGAACAATGTTGAAGAAAACTTCTATTTTTTTCTGTCTTTTAGTTGCTTCTGATAACTGTTTTATTTTTCATGATTTATCACTTTGGCAAGAAGCTACAGTAGCAGATAGGAGCTAGAGGCAGTTACAGGTATATTCTTGGGGTTCAGTATCTTCCTCTGTCTTTCTGTGTGATTCTTTCTTTGTTAGTAATAGTTGTTCTAGTAGTGACTTAAAAAAAAAAAAAAAAAACTTTTTATGTAGTATGTGTGTAAGCTTGCTTGTCTCCATGGGCACCACATGTGCAAAATATGCCCCTCGAGGGTGAGAAGGTGTTTGACACCCTTTAAAGTGGAATTACAGATACCTGAAAGAGTAAAAAACAAACAAGAGTAGTAGGTGCCCTTATCTTGGGAGACAATCTCCAGCCTTGTCCTTTCCTGAATTCACACTGTAAATCCTGGGATTCAAGGGAGAAAAAACAGTTGCACAATTTTGAGTCAAATTTGAAGCAAACTTAATTAAATATTGGCCAGGCAAAAAGAGATATATCAAGGTCCACCTGTGAGTTCCCAGGAGATGGCCACTGGTGGGTCACCTTTTGCAAAGGCTTAAAAAAGGAAAAGCGCATAAATCATTGCATTTCCCATCAGGTTCAACCAGGGGCAAACATACATCCTGACACATTTCCTGCCTACATGTGATCAAGCATATCAGGTGCAGATGCACAAACACACTTGTTTAGGGAAGTAAAATCATGTGACCTGTTATTCCCTAAGAACTACAACTCCCAGCATTTCAGAAAGTCACCTTGTACTCTGGCAGGTGAGCCGGTGGGTCTTGCAGGTTAACTTTGGCCCCTTCTGCATGGATGCCATTTGTCATTTTTGTAGGGACCATAAAGGATAATAATTCTTTAGGACTCACTTAGAAACTGCTTCTGCCCAAGAGCTGGAGTCCTCAAGTGTGCCTAGAAACTTAAATCAGAATACAAGCATGACATTTTCATTTTGTATGTACTCCCTTTACTGTAGATTAGATTCCCTATTGCCTTTGAACAGAGTCATAATAATCAACCTCAAGCCTCTAAAAACTGTACTACTTATTCTACATCCTTCTTCCAGGAGGAAAGCACAAAGAGAA